TCATTGGGTGGCAGTTGAGAAAGTTATGAGATACTTGCAAATAACAAAAAATTACATGTTTTGTTTATAGGAGAGTTGATAGTCTTGAAGTGATTGGTTATTCAGATTTAGATTTTGTTGGGTGTCAGGATGATTTAAAATTCACTTAAGGATATATTTTCATGTTAGCTAGAGGAGCAATATCATGGAAAAGTGTTAAACAAACTTTCACAGCCTCTTCCACTATGCAAGCTGAATTTGTCGCTTGTTATGGAGCTGCAACACAAGCTATATGACTAAGAAATTTTATTTCAAGAGTTATGATTGTTGTTTCCATCTCTAGACCACTAACAATTTATTGTGATAATAGTGCAGTTGTGTTCTTCTCAAAAAATAACAAACATTTTAGTGGGTCTAAACATATGAAAATTAAATATTTTTCTATTAGGTATCTTGTGAAGAAAGGTGACATTGTGATTGAACATATTGATATAGAATCAATGCTTGTTGATCCTTTAACCAAGGGACTGAGACCTGTAACTTTTAAAAAACATGTTGACAACATGAGTATTTTGGGGTCTTTTGATGTACTTGGTTAGTGGGAGTTTTTTTTATGTGTTAAACTTTAATGTTGATTTAATTCCATGTGTAATATTTGATACTCATTATGGTTGAAATACTTCTATTTAATGAATAATAAATATTTGATGATTATGTTTATTGTTAGCATAATATTCTTGCTATGTTATATGTGTACACATTTATGACATGTCATTTTATACAAAATCTTAAGACTTGATGTATGTCTTAAGTATGACTGTTTTGTCAATTGAGTATGTCTCTGATTACACCATTTGAGAAAGTCTTATGATTTTAAGTTTGGAGACATACTAGCATATTGTTGAAGTTAATGGATTTCTCTAGCTTATTGTTTAAACATGTTGTTAAAGAGAAATTATTTGGTGAACTGACAATAAAAATAACATGTTTATTATATCACATATTGAGATATTATTTTTTTGCTACACTATCACAACTTGATCCATGTCAATAGAATTATTATTTTTTGTAATCATGGATTGGTCATATGTCAATAAAAGATGTAAAAGCCGCCATAGTTCGAAAATAGTAGTTTTATTGGACCGGTTTGTGTTTGAAATGTTGTCTCAAGACCATATTATTTTTTATTGTGGCCACATTGAGTTTTGTTTGATTAGCCCGATAGTCGTTTTCAAATATATACATATAATTTTTTTTTATTTCTAAATGACTACAATTAATGTTGTCAAAGTGGGAGAATGTTAAATTTTTTCTTATATTGGACTGTCATTAATTGATAGTTAATTTTAGTTTGTGAAAAATGGGCCGAATTTATGGTCTAATAAGATGAGCCAAATATTATTAAGTGATCTATTTTGATAAGCTTATGTACATCTTTTAATTGATGTGGTTGAGGCGGTTAAGTGTATGTCTTAATTTAATTGTGGCCCGTAATGGAAGAGCCCATTAGATTTCTTTATAAATTGCAAGCTAGATCCCCTCTCCACTTCATAACCCTAATTTGGCTTGTCCCATTAAGAACTATCTATTGCTTTGAAAAAAGAGAGGAAGACCTTACTCTTTTAAAAAAGAAATTCGGAGATCGAGTATAATGTCTCATACATGTATGTTTTAAACCTCGTAATTTAGGTGTTCTAAATTTTATATACAAATCATTAAAATTTATTACAGTAATTCCTTAAAATTGCGGAAGTTATAATTTAATTATACTATTTTATAAATTTCAAAAAAAATAAATTAATTGTCTAATGATTTTTTTCTTTTTCCGTAGATCTTCATGACAAAAGCATTATTTCAATTTAACAATTGATGATCAATTTCAGTGCACTGTAAGAGAACCAATTTATGTGTGTTAAGTGCACTGTATCTCGAGATCACAAAAGTATTTTTGAAATTCTAATTTGTATGTTTTACGGGTTTGCAGTGCGGCGAGGGGATTCATAAACCACATATTGTATGAGTCTAAGAAATTGTCTGGCCATAAATTCAGCCATAGCTCTTGATATTGCTCGTAACAGCATTATTCAAAAAATTTATTGGTGTAGCAGTTCAAGTTGTTGGCTGTCATGAAGTAATAAAGCAAGAGATTGGAATGCTTCCAGATGTGGATCTTTCAAGTCGCTTCTTCTATGTGAAATTTGTGTAGGCGCTTCTTCTAAGTTGTTCACTTTCCTCTTAACAATTTGGTTTAGATATTAGAAAGGAAGAGTAACAATTTCGCTTGAGAAAGGAAGATGAGGCATTGTTAAGTTGAAAGGAAATGATTATTGTTAAACTTCAACATGGTTGGTTCTTTGATTCTCTGGTCATATTTTTTACTATTTTGGTCACATGTGCTTGTAGGTTCAAATTGATTGAAGGCTCAGTTTATGCTCGAGATATCAAATCCATATTTTGGATCTAGCCAAGGAACCATCAATCTTTTATGTAATGTAAGCCAGAGGAGAAAACATTTGAGGGGGATGGAATGCCTCAAATATGAATTATTGAGGAACCATCAATCTGTTTTGGCCCCGTACGAATATGAATTAATGGACGATTTCGAAAGGAATCACTTGTTCTAGAATGATTCACATTTTTCGGCCACATGGCATACCTATATTGGATGCCTATCATGGACTAGAGAAAACTTGGGTATACCGAACAGAACGGTCACATTTTCAGACCACGACCTCATCAATTCAGTTTGATCGTCGTTCGATAACAAGCCACTTTATGTTCCAGTGTTGGTGTGAGGATTGACCCTCCCCACTTTATGTTCCAGTGTTAGTTCGCATTTTGCCTTCCATCAAAATTGAATGGACCAAGCTTAGATTATACAGACACCCTTACCTTAATCTGTTAAATGATTCAACTTGTTAGATCAACCAATAGGCCTTTTCAATGGGGCTAGTCACTTGAGAATGAGTGTCTTCAGAGAGTCCCGCGAAAAGAATATAGTTGGAAATTGTTTTGGAGAAGCAGTGAGGGATAAAGATTCATGAATGATCGCTTAATCTATTACACGAAGCAAAGTAAACCTGAACGGGATTGCTGAACAAAGGATGAAACAAAAGTGTACAATGATAAGTTCAACAGATCTCAGCTTGATTAGCCTACCTCTGCTTCCCTATCAAGAAATAAACATAACTCTTTGATTGCTCAAAGGACACGGAGGAGAATGAAAACTTTGAATCTGGTAACACATTTGTGTTGTAATGGACAACTTGTAATCTGTTTTTCCCCTGTTCTCCATAAAAGATAAATTTTTTTCACTCTATTATTTGGCTGCCAATAGTGTAAGTTGGAGCATTTGCTGAAAAAAACAGTCATCAATAACATTAGTAGCTCAAAAAGTCCCATGGCTATATTGCCAACTGACAAGAACTCTCATAATAGCCTAGTGTTGTGAAGTTGGGACTTGAGATCAACCATAAATTTGGATGTCATAAGTTCAATTTTTTTTGGGTATTCTCGTGTTTAAGCACTATTTATAATTAACCGTGATGGAAAGTATCTAAGATTTACTGTACAAGGATGAATCCAACGTAACGTTGCCTTGTTATGGAAAAAAAAGAACTCTCAGAAATGTAGTTTGTTGTGGATCATTTGAACTGCTTTCAGCCTCAGCAACATTACAGGACATTGGGGTAGAAGCAAAAAAATAGGTTAAGTATAGAATGTTGTAAATAAATAGCAAGCTGCAAGCCCGCAATTCTATTTTCAAAATTTTGTGATGACATAAATCTCTTCATAATCAAGTGAATGAAACAAAACATAATTGGCCCCAAAACTGTGAACTAACCACTAACACCCCCCCCCAAAAAAAAAACACACACAAAAATAAATAAATAAAAACCTAACCAAAAAATAAACAAATATTAAATAACCACCCAAAAAATTGTTGGGCCTCTACAAACAGGACAACAAGAAGACCTTAATGGCATCCACTGATCAATAAACTCTCTATGAAACATGTGCTTCCACCTCGGCAAAACCCTAACAACCTCCCCACACATAAATTCTGCCAAACATATCAAACAGTTCTCAGACTCAAACGACACAGAATAAGACGACGAAGGAACTCCATAAATAATCACTGCAATTTCAGCAAAAACATCACACTCGCAGGACCGATGGGTGGGGCTGGGTGGTAGTGGGTGGCGTTGGGTGGTTCTGCATGGTGGTGGGTGGTGCTGCAATGGTGGTGGTTCTGCGATGGTAGCGGTTCTACGATGGTGGTGGTTCTACGTGTCTATTGTGATGGTGGTGATTTGCTTAAGTGAGTTAGGGCTCAAATGGGATTTCGGGGGGAGAAGAGAAAATAAGGAAAGGAAACAAGAGAGGAGGGAAAAATGGGATCAGCAGGTTTGAGTTGTTAAACACGTCAGTGCAATTGATGTTTTTACTTGGTAATGTCAATTGGTCTGATGTCTTTAAACTACATACCGGCCATAGAACAAGCTTAAAAATGTCATTAGGTCTAACATTTTTAAGTTAAAAACGTCAGATCAACTGATATTTTTTGGCTTAAAAATATCAGATCAAATGATGTTTTTAAAATTTCCTGAATTTAAAAATTATTTTCAAACTAACCCTTAGCTGGGGAATTTATTTTAGAAAGCCTCGATACGAGTCAAAAGCTCTCCGAGAAAGGGGAAGAGACTCCATTGTGACTCTAGCAGCTGATTTTTCTTTTCTTTTTTTGGAAAATATTGTATTTCATTCAACTGTGTATTACAGTCCTTTAGTAGCAAGATATTACTAAACTCAATGGGAATACATCATCCCCAGCCTCTAGGGAGCGAAAGGGAAATTGCTACCCACTGAGCAGTTGCCTGATTAAGATTTCTAGGAATGGGAGTTAAGGCTTAGATTAAAAAGTAGAGTAATGTTAGATAGACTTAAAAATTAGACTTGATAATCTTAACCATTGAATAGGTAGTGGGTCTCAATAAAAGTTGGGACCCACAATGAAATCAATTGTTAAAATTATCAAGTCTAATTTTTAAATTCATATAGCATTGCTCTTACCAGTAATCATTACACGAACACTTGCCCGCTTTAAAATGGTGGAACCGATTCCTATCCCTTACAATTATCTCTCGATCATAAACCTTTGAGATCAACTTGCTAGCTTCGTGACAGTCCTTACACATTCGCAGGTTCTTTGTAATACGAAGAGTTTCCCCGGATCTAGACTTCAATAATCCGAATGCAATAGCCAGTTTCTCACTATGGTGATGTAAGAGGTTCTCCCTTTCCTCATCATAAATGTCATGCACCAATCCACCACTGTCAGCCACATACCCAATGGATCTAATACTATCCAGCATCTCATTAACTTTCGCATAGATCTCTTTGGCTTCAGGATGACCCCTTCCTCCTGCAATGAACTCGTTAACAGCACCTTCCATTTCAATCACAGAAAACCCAGGAGCCTTCTTCACTCCCCTGTCATTCATTAATTTTCTCACATTAGCAACATCATCCCATCTACCAGCATTGGCATACATATTAGCTAATAATACATAGCGCCCACTGTTGTGAGGCTCTAGTTCAATTACATTCTTCCCTATTTCCTCTCCCAGCTCAATGTTCCCATGAATTCTACAAGCTCCAAGAAGAGCACCCAATACACCTACATCAGGACTCATGGGCATCTCACTTATAAGCTTTCTTGCTTCCACCAGCATTCCAGCTCTGCCAAGCAAATCAACCATGCATCCAAAATGCTCCATTCCAGGCTCAATGCTGTAAACTTCAGTCATGTAGTGGAAGTAATGACGCCCTTCTTCTACTAACCCTGAATGAGCGCATGCACTAAGCACATTCACAAATGTGACGTAGTCAGGAGTTACTGCCGCTCTCTCCATATCTTTGAAGAGCTCAATGGCAGCCTCACCTTTCCCATGCATTGCAAGCCCCCCAATCATGCAATTCCAAGATGAAATTCCTTTACTGGGAAATTCATTAAAGGCCTCCAATGCCTTATCCAAGCAACCACATTTACAATACATATCAATTATTGTTGTTGCAAGTTTTGAGTCCACTTCAATCCCACTTTTCTCAATATGACTATGTATCCACTTTCCTTGTTCGAGAGCTCCTAATCCCGTACAAGCTGATAACATACTAGCTGCCACAAATTTATCCAGCATCACACCCTCTGATCGCATCCTATCAAACAAAGTGAACGCCTCGTGAAAACGATTGCTCTGGACATGAGCTGCTATAATAGCATTCCAAACAGCAGAGTTTTTTTCTGGCATTGACTGAAAAACTTGAAAAGCTTCATCGACATATCCCCATTGAGAAAAACCACTAATCAAGGTGGTCCAAGCGACAGCATCCGCACGGCACATCTTATCAAAGACCCTCTTTGCTTCGTCCAAACACTGAAAATTCACGTACATGTGAATCAAATTGTTCTGGGAAAACCCATCTGATCCAAATCCGAATTTAATAACATGAGCATGTACTTGTTTGCCTTCTTCAACAGCATTATCGACACAACAAGCTCTTATAACAGGGGGGAAAGTAAAATTGTTGGGTGTAACCGAGTCTTGTAACATTTGGGCATAAAAAAGAATGCAACTTGTGGTGAATTGGGATTGCAAGTAACCTCGAATGATGGTATTGTAGATAAATGCATCTGGGTGGGGTATTGTGTCAAATACTTTGAGGGCATAGCTTAAGTTACCAGATTCCGATAGAGCACAGAACTTGATGACTCGACCCATGGCATTGTTATCAGACAAGAGGCCAAGTCGAATGATTTGGGAATGATATTGTTTGAGCTCGGCCATAGCTGAGCAGCATTCGATGCCGCGCAAAGGGGTGCAATCGGTCTTGGGTGAGACTAGAGAGGATGGAGTGGCCTGAAGTAGCTTAACCGTGGCCATCAGTTCACATCATCCTCTTTGGATATTTTCATAATACATAATAAAAAAGCACCATACAACATAAAATTCAAACACCAAAAAAATTGATCCCGCTATATCAAATAATAATTATTTTTAAAAATAAGAGCATCAAAATTTTCTCCAAATATATAATCTCAAAAAAATATCAAAATATGTTACACTATCGTCAGAGATCAAAATTTCGTTTCAAATCGATCGAATCATTTTCATTTTTAGGGAGACCGAAACGAATTATTAAGAGAATCAAAATTCTAAATTTCGAGGTATTTCATAATATTTCAAGGTGTTTCATAATATTTCGAATTGTTTCGTAATGTTTTGAGTTATTTTGTAATGTTTCAATATATTTGCATAATTATTTAAAAAAAAATTAAAGTATTTTAAAAAATTTTAGTATATTTCAACTAATGTATTAGAAAAATTAATTTTTAAATTTTTTATTTTTTTTCATTTTATTTTTAAGACGAATCGAAACATTTTCAAAATACATCGGACATATTTTCGTTTTTTAGGTGACTAAACAATCAGCAGCAAAATAAAATTTTAATCATTAAGGAGGTTGGAATTGGAATTTGACGAAAGGATGAGGTTCAAACTTCGTAGAAATCGTTTCAAACTTTGTAGCAATTTGCACCAAGGCCAATGTATGTATGCCTGTATAAGCTTAAAAATAGGCAAGATTTGGGAGAAATTGAGGTTGGAGAGGATTTAGTACTAATAACTTCCTACAACTGCGGGCCATCAATCAATCCTCAAACCTCTGCTGTTGCCGTTGGAGGACAATTGCTTGCCATTTTGCTTTAACTTTTAGCCACACAACACAACAGCAAAGCAAGGTTACTAAACCTGGCGTACGTCCGTTTTAATCCAATAAAGATTAAGTCACCCTTAATTCCAGGGCAGCCATGCATGTCTATAAGAGCTTCTTCCTCTTCAGTCAAACGGGATTCTCTCATCCCAACCTCTGGGAATCATCATCAAGTTTCACGGCTTTATGACAAACAGCATTTTTAATCCATCAGACTCAAACAAACAGGCGTGAAATTAAGCAGCGAGAGTAGTCAACATGAAAGGAGGCAAGCTTTTTGTCTTCGGAGTCTCTGGAATACTTGTCGTAGGTGTAGTTATTGGTCTTATTGCCGGGGTAGTCCACCACAACTCATCAAATGATGATGACAGCGACGTGCTGTCCACAACTTCAAAGGCCGTTGCTTCTATTTGTTCCCAAACCGATTATAAGCGGGCATGTGTTAATAGCCTTGATGCTGTTGCCAATAACCAAAGCGCCACCCCTAAGGACTTCATCGAGGCTGCCATTCAGGTCACCATCCAAGAGGTGAAAGCTGCAGTAGAAAAAACTGGGACAATTGGGAAAGCAGCCAATGATCCTCTGCAAAAAATGGCTGTTGAGGATTGCAAGGATTTGTTTGCAATTTGCCATAGACGAGCTCCAAGCCTCCTTTTCAATGGTGGGTGATAGTAACTTGCACACCATAGGTGACAGAGAAGCTGAGCTCAAAATTGGCTCAGTGCTGTCATTTCATACCAACAATCGTGTATTGACGGTTTCACTCAACCTGAACTCAAGAGTGCAATATCAGATGGCCTTCTTAATGCCACTCAACTTACAGACAATGCCTTGGCCATTGTTTCCGCCATTTCTCAAATTTTAAGTGCATTCAACATTCCAGTGAATACGACTGCAAGTTCTCGGAGACTTCTTGATACATCTGAAGTTGACAACGATGGTTACCCTGCATGGTTTTCGGCTGCAGACAGGAAACTATTAGTGACCAACAATGGTCAAGTGAACCCTAATGCAGTGGTCGCAAAGGATGGTAGTGGACATTATAAAACCATTGCTGCAGCTCTTGCTGCTTATCCAAGAACCTGAGAGGGAGATATGTTATATACATAAAGGCAGGAATTTACGATGAATACATAGTTGTTACAAAGGACCAGGTTAATGTGCTAATGTATGGAGATGGGCCCCGGAAACTATTGTCACTGGACGTAAATGCAACCGTGATGGAGTCTCCACCTACCAGAGCGCTACGTTCAGTGAGTTCTCTCTCTCTCTCTCTCTCTCTCTCTCTCTCTCAACCACGTCATTTTCTGAAACATGCTTGAGAGTGTAATCCTGTGACGCTGATCTGGCAGGTGCAGTTGGAACTGGATTTATAGCCAAGTCAATGGGATTTCAAAACACAGCTGGTCCCGAGGGACACCAGGCCGTGGCACTTCGAAGCCAATCAGACATGTCTGCCTTCTACAACTGCAGAATGGACGGGTACCAAGATACATTGTACGCCCAAACCCATCGCCAGTTTTTATCGCAATTGTGTCATTTCTGGCACAGTTGATTTCATCTTTGGCGATTCATCCACTGTTATACAAAACTGCTTGATCATTGCAAGGAAGCCCATGGACAACCAACAAAACACAGTTACTGCTCACGGACGAAGCAATAAACGTGAGACCACTGGTCTGGTAATCCAAAACTGCCGAATTGTCCCCGAGCAAAAACTTCAGCCTATGAGGTTCAAAATCCCTACCTATTTGGGTCGGCCATGGAAGGAATACTCAAGGACTGTTATTATGGAAACGACACTGGCAGACTTCGTCCAGCCAGCAGGATGGCTGCCATGGGCCGGGAACTTTGCTCTCGACACATGCAACTTTGCGGAGTATGCAAACCGTGGTCCAGGAGCAAGACAGATAAGAGGGTGAGGTGGAAAGGCTACCATGTGATTACAAACAGAAATGAGGCTCTTCAATTCACAGCTGGTCCATTTATTCAAGGAAACCAGTGGCTGAGATTCACCGGTGCACCACACTTTCTGGCCTGAAAAAACTAAAAAAAATATCAACTGGACTACTTACCACTCAACATCAAGACGGAAGCTCAAGTAATCACTAAAAAATTATTCTGCAAAAGTAGGTTGAGAATGAGAGAAATGGTCCTTACTTGCCATCCCCAACTTCATTTCTCTGCTTTGATCAGTTGTGATGTACATTGTACATTTTTGCAAGACATTTTCCACCAATACAATTCTTTGTAAGAGCATCTCCAACCATGTTATTTAAAATAGTTATTAAATATATATTAAATAATGTATTATCTACTTTAACTAACCACTTTTTCCAATTCACTTCAATCACACTATCTATTTTAACTAACCACTTCAA